TGCAGAACAAAAATACAAATCATAATTCCGACGTTGTGGACGAGCGCACAGGTTGGGCTGCCCACATAAACGACACGTCAGAAAACAACCTTGCATTTCGTTTGACCCTCCTGTAAAAGTGGTGGCGGCCTCGGTGGCTTTGGTACAGCCAACACTCTAGCTAACTGAGCTACGAGGCCCTAACCTTGCATTTCTTGAGCAGATCTGTAACAGTACGGTGTAGCTTACCCTTTATATTACATTAAAGGCAAAAAACATGGAATGCCCTGAATAGAAGGTTTACGTTTTTATCTGAAAATACATATTTTGCTCTCAGCAGCCTTATTAATTTTTCCCAGCTGACTCGACTTCTATTTTTCTTCATCTACCAGCTGGTAACTTTCTTTTTGATAAACTGCTTTGTATTTTGTGTTGCGCGAGCGCAAATTGATCTCGCATATAATATTTCTTCCTACTTCCGGTTTAACTTACTTTCCCGTTGTTGAAGACTCCACTGAGGTTTATCAACCATGTGACGCCTGGGTCGGTATAAACACACGTTGAGTAGACATTTGCTGTTTTGCTTTTATCGTGAACTTCAGTAAAACTGTTCCGTTTACTGTTTCTTATGCCGTAGTAGTTTCGATGGCAAAAGTAATAAGTATGTCTGCTATTTCGAAAGCCAGACATATTAAGAACCGTTGCACTGCGTAGCATCATTAATGACCCGATTCACATTCCATACTATCAACATCACTGAAAGATTACTTGCAGTTAATTGCTAACTAAATACTGCTAAACAAAAACGGGACGATAAGTAGACGAAATGAAAAGATACTTTTACCAGATATGTTGCGAAGAGGGATTTCAGTTGGGAAAATGAACTGAAGACGAGTTCCCGGTAGATGGTTTTGATACAGTAATCTTAATTCCTTCTCTTGAGCAATGTCACCCCAAACAACATCAATATTATCACTTACGACCTGTTTCCGGCGCCAAAAATGCCTTGCCAATTGCGATCATACCGCCATAAGACTTTTGCGCATTTCATAAAAAGGTCATCGTCTCGGTTCGGGGAACTCAAAACAAATTGGAGACTAATCCATCTCATCCAACATCAAACAACCTTAGTGGCATCAGATCCTGCTCACTTCATTTATCCCCGCGCCAGACTTGAGGTAACTTTATTTTTAATTTTTTAGAAACGCGTGGGACGCTTTTCGTTATTTTCTATCAAATGCTATCTCATGTGGTTTGCTCTGTTCGCCACATGATGCATTCAACCGCTAACTTACATAAACTAATTCGCTCGGCGTTCCGTTCTGCCCACTCCAATCCAAAATTTCCTAAAAACTGTGTTAGACATATTCAAGGTGTTTCCAACCTCCAATGCGCTTGAGCACTCTCTGTTCAACCACCTCACTTCCTTACGTGAAAAAGCTGAAGTATCAGAATGGCAGGCACCGCCGAATCAGTTAAACTCTCAAACTGTTGCAACAGACACTAAAAAATTCATTGATGGCTCTGGTTTACGTTAACCGACGCTTAGGTAGTCTGGCCCAAGCCAGGCCGTCGCAGTCTCTAATCGGCAAGTCACGTGTAGGCAGCGGAATAGACACGTCGCCCAAGGCACTGTTGCGAGCTGCCAGGGTAGATTCGGTGATGCTGCAGAGATGTCAAATCGTTTTTTTACTTCCGTTATTTTGTAGATCCTTATCACTGTTTCGTGCGCGAGCTTCATGCGGCGTCCAGTATAATGTCAGTTCCAACTTCCTATGCACGCTTGAAATCGTGTCCTGGTCCGAATTTCATACGCACTTATTAATTTCAGCCTACATACTACGAAAAATAGAAGGCTAAATGAAAAATGATGGCGATTACAAGAATTTGGGGGATTCAACCATCATAGTCATCGTGTCTGGACGTACGGAAGTCTTTATATCCGTCAGCATTGTAGTTGGTCAGACCGCAAGACCAGCCTGTCTGCAAGCGTTAGCAGTGAGGGTGAATAAGCCTGACGTAGCAGAGGCGCTGGGTAAGGCAGTAGTAACGGTAAGCCACCACGGTTATGGCATAAAATCTCGCACTTGTGTTAAATTTTCAGCCTCCAAGGTTCACATATTTTATTTTATTTCGGTCTAATGGGCAATCTTGCAGCCTGAAGCCATTAGGAAACGAAACCAACTTGAAAATACTTTCATCCTCGTGAATTTGCGGCAAAACGTGAACAGAAATAAACCATCTTCCTTCTACCATTTTGTCAACAGCCGTGCAGGATCTTCAAATTATACAAGCGGCTAGGGTATTCTATCGTGCTTGCTTCGTTCTCGTGCCCTGAGGAAATGTCTCGTCCCAGACCCTGCAGAAGGTAACACGTCTTTCTCGATTGGTAATGGGGAACGAAATATTTCTCCGTTCGAGTCCAGGAAATTGTGCTGAAAGTTAGCTGCACGCTGGATTCCAACCTCGATACCTACAGTCTGTCACCAATCTCATGACATAGTAGCCGAAATTCTGAAATGCATTTTCGATTGGGAAGGATTACTTAGGAGGCGTTTTAATATTGTTTATCATGCAAAATACGTCCAAGTTATAGCTGTTATGTAGGCTTTTGAATGCACTTCCTTTCAACTGCCGGCAAAGACCGTACTTACTAAAGAGTACATATTTAGTAGTATA